TCCCTTGAGGGGTTCCCTCGCTGGCAATTCCCCTGTGTGCTTGAAGCGTGTCTATTACAGCGGGCACGGTAGCGAAGCGCAATACTTGTCCTTGACGGTTTTGCATCTCTGCCTAATGGTGTGATTCCCCCCCTGCTCCCCGCCCCATGTAGCAGAAGAGTATAAATACAATTTGAAGAAATCTGAAATACAGTGTTTACAGGGTTAAGATATGTGGTAACTTGCATGGGGTTTTTTTGTGTTTTTTTTTTCCTACAGTCATTAGTTCTTTGAATACCATGTGCAATTTTGAGAGTTGTTCTTTAAACCGCTTGCAGTTCTAGGTTATCATCTCTTAAAACTTGTTATACCTGATGTCATTCTGAATAGCCAAGGTATTGTAACTGTTCTGTCGTGAATTCCTACAGGCAAAAGCTGTGTGCCAGTTTTTACAGTGTTCACCTTACCAAGATGTTAAAGTATTTTCTACTAACTTAACTCTGTTATTTTTATGATCTCTTGAGCTATTCAGTTTGTAGTGACAGCAGTTGCCAGGTTTTGCATCCAGAGGTCTGGTGTAGAAAGGATTGTTGATACTTTTGGGAAACAGCCTATATGATTAGATGAACTCCTGTGAGAATGTCTTCTATGAGTATTTGCATTGCAGATTAGAGCTTCAGTTTTATGTCAGACTCTTTGAGATTTGTCTTGAGATCTGGTTAAATTGGCGTAAACCATAGGGTGGATCACTTTGTAAGGTAATGCAGGAAGAATAGCTGCTTCAGTTTCCAAATACTTGAGGTTGAATTGTCCCTAGCCTTTAACAATGAGTGTTGTGTACTTATATTTAGCGTGACTGATAACCCAGAACCTAGTGATTAAAGAGGAAGAACCTAATAATTAGGTAGGAAGAAAATACTTTAACAAGGGCAGAACGCATGTAAAGATCTTCATCATCTTGGAGATTGCTGATTTAAACACCATAGAGGCGCAAGAAGGGAAAAAACCCCCAAACCTAGACCATTGTGAGTGCAAGCTTTGATTGTATATATGTGTGTGTGTATATATGTATGTATTTTTTTTTTTTTTACTGTAAGTGAAGTGTGTGGTCAAGAAGTTCCTTTCAATAAGACTCATTGCTTTAATGAGTAGGACCAAATAACAAAGCTGCAAACTGGATTACCCGTTGGAGTTGATTTCTGACAAGGCTAGACATAATCTCTTTGGAGCTTTTGTTTTTTTGGTCTGAATCTCATGTGTCAGCAGGAGAAATGGTATAAAATTGTGTATCTTAAGAATATTTCTTCATGTATAGGCTGTCAGGCAATGCCTCTTCACTGCTTGGATTGGTAGGCTTCAAAGTATTTGTTTTCTGGCAAGAAAAGAAATTCAGTGAAGACAGTGGCAGGCAATTATCTCCCAGGTTCTAGCAGAAAATTGAACAGTAAACTTCTGTTTTAAGGCTTCATAGCTGGAATCATTACTTTTACTGAGGCTTTTGGGGAAGGTACTGTAGAGGATTAAGCCATTCACAAGCAGATCTCAAGGATGTGAGGAAGGACAACTCTTTGTGAGAAGTGTCAACTTTCTGTACTTCTGTACTTCTTCTTTTAACTAAATTTCTCCTTTTCTTTTTTTTGCCTTGTTTTTTCTCTAAACCATTCAAAAAACACTTAACATGTTTGCTAATAGACTTTCTCAAGTTCTATCAGTCTGTCCAGAGTGCTAAGATGCAGGCCATTTGTTTTCATTTGTGACTTAAGAGCTGAGCTATCATTCAGTCTGTGCTTTTAAAGTCTTGTGTTGGAGAAGAACTGATATTGGTTGCTTATAAACAAATGGTTGCAAGATACAGTAAATAGTACTCGTAGGCTATCTCTAAATATAAATGTATTTTGAAGAAGTGGAGTGAGGGACAAGGTTCTTTAAGATTATTATTGGTACTGATCTTTGAAGGTACTCCTTCAGGTGTTTCTTTTTACTATCTGCCAGCCAGGGGGAGTTGCCAGTATTTTTAGATCTCTTATGGCAATTTCTTCCCCCCCTTCCCCGTCTCCTCTTCCTCCATTTGAGAATTTACTAATCAGTTCTGCTTGGTAAAACATATCAAAAGTGTGAGCTTCCTGTACTTATTTATCCCTTTGATCTAAAAACTGATTTGGACGATAGTTCTGCAGGACAAAGGCACCTTTTTGTAGTTTGCACCTAGTTCTTAGATAAGGCTCTTTCTTCTGTGAAGCAAAGCCCACAGTAAATTAAAAGTGAGTTCTCAACTCGTGTGTTACAATGTAGAAGTTAAACAGGGACCTTTTGGTTATCATCCCAATAAACTTGCACCTATTTTGCAATATCAACACAGTCTGTTATCCTCGCCCCTGTGAACAATTTTAAATGTATTTAATGGATCATCTAAATAGAGAAGTATTATCTGTGATGAATTGCTAGTCCTGCCTTCTGATGTTTACACATCCAAACATTGCTCTTTTGGCCGGTGAGCTTGGGGCCAGGTGAAGAAAAGAATAAGAAGCATTCTAAACTGAAGAATGCAAAAGGTTTTCACTGCTTATGGAGTTTCTGCTTCTTTGAAACAGTGAAGAAACTTGTTTTCACTCAGTTTTAGTGGATTTAGCCAGCCCTAAATTCTTAATATGCTTTCAGATATCTTTAAAGATAAAGATCTTTGGTAGTTGATTGGATTGAGGATTACTACTTGATCCCATTTAGAACGAATGAAGATTATGACTGATATTAATTGGTATCGAGCCCTAGCTCTGTGCTGTATTGTAACACTTTGGAAATAGTAGTGTCTAGAAAAGAGGAGCAAAAACCTTTGAATTTCAGTGATAATTCTATTGCATTTTGTAATTTTTGTGTACACCACTTTTTTTTTTTAAGGAGGAGAATGTACTATATTACATTTATTTCATAATCTGAAAGAAGAATAACATTTGAAATAATGGCAACAGGAGACCTAAAAGGAAGTTTAAGAAAAATAGAACAAGGACTTCGCTTGTTAAATTATCCAAGAGATGTGGATTATACAGTGTAAGTGGCGGTGTGAATAAACTTATGCTAATACATGATGACAGCAAGATGTGTAAACAAGATATGTGTAAATATTAGCATTGCACGCAGTGATGAGTAAGCAGAGCATATGTCTGTGGGAAGTTGGGGTTTGATACATGTGAACTGGAAGATAAAAGGATGCAGTTTTGCTGTTCTGAGCAATCCTTAGAATAAACCTGAAGTGTATCACTATCTTGCTCTTATTTCTTCTGCTGTTTTTCTCTTTTTTTTTGATTAATCTCTCACCTTTATAATTTTTTTTGTAAGTGCTAGCAAAACTTTCTTCAGGAAATTTCATCCTGTAAAGATTGGGGTGGGGTGGGGTGGGGTGGGTGGGAGGTGTTGAATGTTGAGATGGAAATGCTGGTGGGCTTTAGACCTGATAATGTTAAAATTATATGAGGGTCACAAAAATGTTTTGAGCATTTTACAGATAACAGTAAAGACTGCTGAATGAGATATGCCTGGAAAAAAACCTTAAAATGAAGGAGATACTTGGGTATAACATGCTGGCTATATTAAAACACCTTTCAAGTTAAATGTTTGAATTCATGTAATGAAAGGCCTTTTTTTTATTTTCTGCTGTGTAAAATACTTTTGCTTTTCAATAGGTTAGTAAAGGGTGATCCAGCTGCATTTTTACCTATCATCAGCTATTCTTTTACGTCTTTTTCAACTTACATAGCAGAACTTTTGGTAAAGTGCGATGTGGAACTCACAGCAAAGAGTGACTTGCGTTTTATTGAAGCTATTTATAAGGTATCTGTCTTCATGTTCTTTGCAGAAGAGACACGGTTTTGAGTATGGCCTCATAGAAATTCAACATCTAGTATGAGTTTTACTAGAAAGTGAAAAGTTTTGGCAATGAATGTGAATTGTAATTCTGTTAGGATTTAAGATGAGTAGTAAGTCACTGTGTGGCAAGTCTTTATTTAGATTGTCATGAAAATAAGGCTGGATGTTGTTAGCCAAATCTCAATTTTGAGACAACCACAGAATCAGTAATATTATTGTGTCTTATGTTAGTTGTAAGAATACTGAAAAACTTATTACACAATAGGTTTTATAGAAGTGACCTTAGAATAAATCACAACCAGCAAAAAATCACAGCAAACTTCAATAATTGTAATGAAAACACTGTTAAGAAATACACTTATTTTAAAACACCATGCAAAATTAATATACAAAGTCCAGTTCTTAATAGCTTATAAATTGAAATCAAATCAAATTCTTAACTGAATGAAAATAATTTTGAACTATCCTTAAAAATATCCTTAAGTGCATTTTTATAAAAGGTGGCTTGATATATTGATGAATACTAGCTTATTCAGGCTAGTTTTCCATTTGAGGAGGGCAGAGACTCCTTTACAGAGGGGCTGTGGGAGCCTTACTTAGCCCTCTGATGCATTTGCTGAGGTTAATACAACTTTTTATTGTGCATTCAGTTTGGAAAGTTTTTGTTTAACTTTTTTAACATTAATGTCTACAATAATTTATTTCACGAATCTTAAGACTGTGAGTTAAACTTTACGAGAGTGATGCGAATGAAACGTTTCTGGAAGAGGTATGTTGAAAGTCTAGTTAGAAGAAACAGCTGAGTATGTATAAATAACCAAATGAGAAAAGGTTTAACTGCTGAAGTGCAGAATGAAAGAAAAGATTGTAGAAAAATAAGAACCTGAGCATGCCGTTTCTGCAACAATTGTGTGGTGATTTTGGAAGTGACGTAAACTCTTATTTTGTTGCAGCTTCTTCGAGATCAATTTCAATATAAGCCAATTTTAACAAAACAGCAGTTTCTTCAGTTTGGCTTTGCAGAAAGAAAAATGCAGATTGTTTGTGACATTATCAACTGTGTGGTGAAAAAACATAAGGAATTAAGTAACTCGAATAAGGTACTGATTAAATGTAACTTTATTATGAGATAAGTTTCTTTTGACATGCTTGATGCTGCAGGTAGAAGCTGAAGACCAGTTTATTTGAAGGTGCAGCATCGCTGATAGTCAAAATAGGGGGAAAATTAGTATGAAGTCCTGTTGTAAGATGCTTGAGTGCTATCAGGTATACAAAAGACACAAAGCTGCCAATGCTTAGTAGTATAAATGAAAAAATATTAGAATGAAGATAAATCTAGTACTTGTGTCTTTACAGTAAGTGATATATTTTGTTTTATAATTCTCAATATAGTGAATGTTTGTGTAACTTGGTAGACTTCGCAGGTAGATTTAAAAACAAAGCAAAACTGTCTGATATGTTGACGTTCTGGTAACATTTAATTTAAACATGACACTTGTATTTGTGTTTCAGTGGTATACATGTCAAATCTGATTGTTTTCATTAATCATACTTATTTTACATTGGTAAGGCTTTTTTTTTATCAGTGTATGCTTCAATAAAAGGAATTTTCAGTCTTCGTATTTTACAGGATTTTGTTTCCTTTGAGTTTATAACAGTCTTCAGGACTTTTGTAAATCTCATTTGTCACTTTTGAGGACGTAACTACATTTTTTTCATATTTGTTTATCTTTCAACTCTGGTGCAAGTCTTTTGTCTTTTCTCTTTATGGCCAACTTTGACGCAGCCTTGCATAGGCGTTAATGAGTTTATGAATATGTCATTCACTTCCAGATCTGTTTTCTCTGTAAATTTGGGTCATATTTAATTTTCTTTTTAGACATTATTGTACTGCAGGGGTTTAAATGTGTTTGTGTGTGTGCATACAATATTCCTGCCTGTTAATGATGGAAGAAAATGGGGTGTGTCATCCTGTCCCCATGTTGTGTGTTTCTTACCCACCCCCACCCCCCCCCAAATATTCCTGTGTTAGAAGCATAATATTCTCTGCTCTTCACTTTGAAGGTTAAATCCCAAACAAGGAAAAAACTCAGATCTTTTAAATATGAAGTATTGTCAAATTGTGATAATGTCTTTGCTGATCCTAGTGGCAGTGCTCTGAATTTCAAACAGGTATGGAAATAGTTTTTATGTTGTATGTCTAAAGGATTTTTAACAAGTCAGGCTCTTTCTGGAATATGTGCTTTCATTTAGGTTTTAATGCTTGATCAGACCAGTTGTGTGGTTTGTTGGGGTTTTTTGTTTGTTTTGTTTTTTCCAAAGTGTGGTTGACTGAAATACTAGCTGAAATACAGAGGATATTGCTTCTCTCTTTTACTGAGTAGCTGATCTCAAAGTCTTGGTGGTAATGATCTAGTACTGTTGTTTGCCATTTGAATTCTATCAAATGGAGGGATAGCAATGAAAATGGAGATGCGTTGGAATGAAGATGCAATTGGAAAAAGAATATACATCCTGTTTGGAGATTGGAGTGTTTTTGGCCTAACATTACAATGTTTTCAACATAGCTTTCAAAACGCTTTTTGCTCTTTTGTCTAAATCTGTTCAGCAAAGATTTCTTGGTGTAACATTCCTCTTGGCTTCGGTTTTACAAGAGTAATACTTGATCTTATGCGTTATGCTACTCTTGGCCTGTGGAGGAGACAGCTTTCCTAATACGTTCTGTTAAAAGGGTGCAAAGTAAAACTGTACAAAACTTTTAGGACTGTGACTACCCATTAAATGTTGGTGATTTCTATTTAGAAGGAAAATACTGTTTTAGCAGAGGAAAATTTCACAAAGAAAATATTTGGAATGACTTATCTGGCACTTCTGGCTGTTGAATGGTAGAACTGAATGGGGATATATGTGAGTGTATTAAGAATTCCCTAGAAGAGGAGGGTTTCAGCTTCAGTAGAACATCTAGGAATCCGTAAGTGTTAAGATGCTGCACAAAATTAGTAATTGTGAGTTCTTAATCATTAGGTAACTTATTACGTGGCAGGTAGTGATCATAAGACTTGATTCAACTGGAAAGAAAGGCAAAATTTGTCTCATATTTTGTTCTCTCTAAGGGAAGCATTCAAAGGAAATGAAACATGTTGCTAGTAGGGCTATTTTGCTGACAGTTGTCAAGGAAAAGAGAGAGTTCTAATCTTCCTAGTTAAACGTTTTGGTTTTTTCTGAATGTTTTGAGTCATGGTTTTGATGTTGGAACTGTCTATGCATATGTTGATACATACAGCGAAATTCATACCTCCCAATCCACACTTAGAAATCTAACAACCTTTGCAATAAAAGAGGACATTAATGCCTTCATTACTGTTTATGGAAGGGAACCAAGGTACACAGTACATATGGTAAAGTGTGTGCATATTTGTTTTACAGTTTTTTCATGTCTATATGATATTTTAAATTAAACTGCCTGCTGTTGCTTTCTGTGTTTTGCAACCAGTTGGGGTAAGATTGTCAGATTTAAATAAATAAATACTAAAATGATAGGTCTTTTGTGTCAGTTACTTGGCTGATGAATTGAAATATTCTTGTAATGAATAACACCAGTGACTTCTTTTTTTTAACATGCTCAAAAGAAGCCTCAAGTAGAACGGCATTCAGGAAATGAAGTTAGTGATGACCTTCATCCACTACCCCTTCCAGCACAGGGAGGTAACGAAGAAGAATTGTACCTAGATCATGATGTTGTGGAAGTTAAATGTGAACAGGTAAGAACTTTTATTTTAAGATGCTGTCTGCATGTATTTTGGGCTTTTCTAAAGGGATAAAGGTTTTAAAAAGATAGCTGGATGCTCCTTAAGTATAACTAATATATAATAAATAGATTTAAAAAGTTGAAAAAGAACCAGTTAAATTGTACTGTCTTTTCAAGAGCCAGTTCTGTCAACAGTTTCTTTAAAAGCTGAGTTCCATGAATAGGCATCTTAGGGCAATTCTGAAAGAAAAATAATTTTCTACTGTAGCAGAATGTGGTTACTGAACTTGAGGAAGATTCCACTTAATTTCATTGGTCAGATGTTGAATTATATCTGTTTGGATAAGAACACGTTCTCTAATTTCAATATTCTCAGGTCATAGGAGATAATTGTCAGATTGAGTTCCTAAAGAGTCAGCTTGCTGATTGCCGGGAAAAGCTTCATAAGCTAGACTGGATAGAAGATAAACTACATGTTTTAGAAGAGAAACTGAAAGGAAAGGTGATCATAGATGAGAAGGACTGGAATAACTTGTTGAGTCGAGTTTTGCTTCTTGAAACAGAACTGTTGTTGCAATCCAGAAAGGTATGTTAACTTCCGTTTTTCTTCTATAACAGAAATTGCCCAGATACAAAGCTGTCAGCTTGTTTCTGTGCTTCGTGCCTCCTGATGTATGCTTTTCACTATTTTTAAAGGCGTGATCTGAATGGAAGTGCTGCTTATGGAGTGGGTGGTATTTTTTTCTTAACTGTTAAATTCTGTGGTTTTGTCATGCTCTATGAAGCAAAGCTCTCCATTGGAAATTGTTTCCTTGCAGGAACAGCAGATGTAGCTAAGTCTATTTTCATTAGTAATGACTAAAAATGTTTTCATTTCCTAACGAACTTGTAGAAGGAAGCTTTTGAAGACTCTTAATTATGCTGTCTTTGAAAGCTTAATGTTTCTGTAATTGAGAATTTCATCATGCTAGTGACACATTTAAGGGTTTCCTTATTCTGGTCTGCATTATTCTTAATTTCTTATACCAGCCTGCAAATGTTGTTGTTGATATGGTTGAATATCAATTTTTTTAATTCTCCAAACTCTAATCAGATACAGATATTCCCTTTGGAAGATTAAGTCTTCATTCTATATAACTAATGTTGACAAAAATAGATGGCATGCTCAATGGAAAATACAAGGTTAATGGAAAAGTTAATTCTTATTTTAATCCTATTCTTAGTTTGTGAATTTTTGAAATTTCTAGCCTAATTGATGGTCTTTCTCCTTTTTGCATGCCCCTCCCCTCCCTGCCTTCCTATTTCTTGTTCATGATGTTCGTTGCATTTTTAAATGCGTGAAAGTGCTACAGTTGTGATGTGGCTACATTTGGCAGATTTGTCAGAGCAAACCAAGTATTTTGTTGCATTAAGACTCTGTATTATTGTTCGTGCTGTTTAAAGGTCCTTGTATGCACATTATATAATTTCATATATGTGCACATGTAAGTACTTTGAGATGCAGTGAACCACAGCATCAATTTTATGATCACATGCCTTAGTTTCAAAGTGTATTTGCGTATGTGTCTTATGTGTATCCTTTAGATGCACGTAAGATGTGCATAAGATTTAGATGAACTCCTTTCCAGAAGTTGAAAACCCTTGCGGAAAATAGTTGATCAGTGTTGCATTTTTCTTTGTAGTTGTAAAAATGTTGAATTTACTTGTAACCAGGAGCTCTCAGTGCGTTGCTGGCCCTGCAAATTTGAAAATGTCGCTAATACTTGTATACAAGACTTTTTTTTTTTTTCTGTGTGCCTTGAAAGTGTGCTTGTTACATGAAGTCTTGAAATGGAGAAGTGTTCAGACTGAAGACTAGGTTATTTCTAAAGGCTGTAGCTCAAATGATAAGGATTGACATTCTCAATCACTTTTTTAAACACAGTTTCAGGTCAGTAATGGCTCAAGTGATTTACCATTTGAAATCAATTTCTTATGGATATTGTAATTTAATTACCAGTGGACATATGTCCAAATAACACCACCAATGATAATGTTTTCTTCTGCTAGCAGGCTCAACAGTTTTGCTCCTGTTTCAAGTGTATTCTCTTCAAGAGAAGAGAATTTATGGCAGTTGCTGCATTTATGACAGTAGCAGCACAGGAAAGCTTGTGTTTCAGACTAGGCTTGTTCTTTTATTTCTGTAAATTTGGTTTATTATTACTCCAGTAACATGTTTATTGCAGTTGTTCAAAGGTTTGGAATAGTATTTGGAAAATATTTGGAAAATACTTAACATTAGTATCACTCAAAAATTTCCAGTAAGATAATTATATTTCTGTACTGCATGTTACTGAAAGAAGTCATCTGCAGAAACAAGTTTGAACTTAGTCTGTGTGTGGCATTGTTGCTTATCTTTTTTCAAAGCAAAAGAAGCTGGGTTTTATATTTAAAAACAAGTCTTCAAAACCCTAACTTTTTTGCAGTAGGCATTTGAAAACTGCCAAGAAATAATCCTTTGGGCGAGAGAATTGCTGCTTCTTTGTTTCATGAAATTCCATCCAAGTTGTGCTTCACAGATATAGAAGCAATTCAGAATTGCTCCTTTCTTCTTACTCTTGCATTTTTCAGGGAACTTTTGGCATTTAATCAATGTAGCAGGAACACTGTAAGATCTGTCTTGCACTGCTGCCAAAGTAGCAGCAGCTGTGCATTTAGCTCTGGGAAAGTCTGAAAGCTACCAAATCCATTTCAATGAGAGGAATTGAGCAGAAGTAGTCAGTGCAGATTTTTTTTTTTTTTTTTAAAAGAGGTATCCATTATTACAGGTTTTTTCCAGCTTCTTCCCACACGGTACCTACTATTTCTCCCTCATTCACTTATTTGGGTATAATATTCCCCTGTTAACTGATATAGTTACTCCAGTATATAAAGTGATATACTTTGTTCAAGGCTGGGATTTCAAATCATAACGATAACTCATTGGTGAAAAAAGTAGATGTTGTTTATGAGTGTTGGATTTTTTTTTTATTTTGAAATTAGAAAATTGCACTCAGAAACACTTATTGTTAGTACAACACTAATTTTGTTGCCTTGTTTATGAACAACCTTTTCTAAGCTAGATTGAGGTAAACTGAGAACCTTTCTTAAAAGAGCCCTCTCATTTAGGAGCCTGAGAAGCTAGCTTAAAATAGACTTTTGAATTCTAAGCATTTAAGTGGAATGAATTTCAGTTCATCTATAGGCTAATTTTTTAGCACCAAGGAGATGCATTTCTGTACCTTAGAAGGTACACTTATTTTGTTAAGGTAATGGCAGCCAACGTCAGGATGTAATTGTTAGCACAGGTCAAGAACAGCCTGATTGTTCATTCTACTAACAGGTCTAAGTTATATGCACTATATTTGGACCTGATTTTGACCTGTTTACGAACGCAATGTTGATATTAAAAAAGCCCCCATGAAATAAACTAGTTTTTTAATGCAATGTGTGTATGGAAGTTTTGGATTTTTTTTAGTCCTGTAAAGACATTTGTGCAGTGCCAACATATCTGAATGGTGTAGTAAATGCATACATAATTAGTACTTAAGTATACTTTTGCTCAGTCAAAAGATGATTTAAACAGGGTGAATGGCTAACATGCGGTAAACTTGTATTTCAGAGAGACTTATCTACAGAGTTCAGCAATATAAGTCAAGAATGTACTTCTAGTAGGATTCCAGTTTCTCCTGGTGAGTATTAATGATTTTCTTTTTAATTAACATCATATGCTAAACACTTCTTGCTGACCTTGACTAAAATGTGTTTACTTACAAATTAAGTGTTTAAATTTTAGAGTAGACAGTTGCAATTTAGTGACCTCTGTATTTAAATGCATGCTGCAAATTAGAAATTAACCTGCTAGTCATTTCATGTTTCTAATTTATTCTTTAGAAGCTTTATTTACTGAAATAGTTTTTAAAGCATTAATGAACATATATAGCATAGTAATTAATAGTTATAAATAACTACTAAAAATCTCAAAGATGCAAATTTAATTGAGGTGCTGTAGCTATAGCTGTGAAAAACAATAATGTTAGCTGCACTTTAAAGCAGTTATCATAATGTTTTAAAAATAAGCTATTCATAAGCACAAAAGAAATTACATTTGCTGCCACGGTTTTGTTATAATAGTGTCACATTTATGTTGTTTTTTACTTTTATAATGGGGCTCAGGACAAATCAGGGCTCTTTCATTTGTAATCCGTGTTGTTTTTCAAATCGCTGCTGAACATTCTCTATAGCTTCATCCCTTTTGAAGCAGTCAGCAGCTATGCAACTAGCATTTTTGCTAAATTTTCTTATTTTGAAGAGCAAGACAAAATCTTTTTCTTCCATTTCCAACTTAATTGTGATAACGTACAAGAAGTAAATGAAACAGCCTTAAGTGGGAAAGAAATTAAAAACATTCCCTAGGCCCTAAATAATTCTTCTCTCTTCATCAGTGGTAGCTCTTTAGCCCTTACCTTGCATCATTCTCTTCATTAATTTGGCCTGTTTTCCCTATGGCAGCTGTTACTCCTGCCAGTAGTAGTAAGGAGGATATTCTGTTTCCTGTTCTCACTTATTGGGTGTTTTTGTCCAGTGTTAGGCTGTTGCACTGAAATTAAAAGGGAATCTCAGTCATTTAGTTTCCATGGGAATTAGGAGGGCAGTTTCTTGGTTCTGTCAAAGTTTGTTTTAATTTTGAAGTCTCAGAAATGGGACCTTCTTTTTACAGACCTTAGAAAGCTTGCAACAAGTTTACTTCCTTTTGTAAGTTAGTAGTATGTTACTGGCACTCGAGGACTTCATAGTCAGCAAGCAGGCTGATGGTCTTTAAAAGAGAATTTTCATATTTTCAGACTTCTGGAATTCTTCTGAATTTCTTATTCCTGTTTTTCTAAAATATGATTCAGGAAATTTTAGGCATACAAGTTATGCGGCCAGTCTTAGCTCTCACATCTGAAATGTACAGTACTCGGAATGCTTTGGTGCTCTTTTTGGTTGTAATGCTCTTCAGGAATCACAGCTGTACAAAAGAAACACTTTTTAATTTTAATTGACTAAAAATAATTTAATATGATTTTAAATACAGAATAGTGTAGCTAAACATGTTCCAAAGGTATGATCCACAGATGGTGGCCTTACTGAAAATGAGGATATGGGAACACTTTTTTCTCTTTTTCTAAGTATTAAATTCTCTTCCCTGACAATAGTATGCTGAAATTGCAAAGAGTATCAGAGCCTTCCCAATGTAAAAGAAAAGTCTGTTTCTGCTGAATGGATGCTAAACCTATCCCAGCGGGAGGAGAGCTAGGGAAACGGCAAGAGCTTGATACATATTTTAGGCTAAATAAGAAGGTGATGATTTTGTTTATATTTCTGCTGCTTACTTACAAATTAGAGACATGTTTGAACAGGTAGTTTACAATAAAAATAATGTAAACTATTTGAAATTACATTTAAATGTTTGACCCAGTAATTAGATTTTCTTAAGTGTTGATTTCACTGTAATCAGGATAAAGGTAGCATTCCTAGTAATCTCTTTTGAGTTTGCCTTGTGTGTGTTATACATAGTATACTGCACTTACCTTGTTTTAAGAAAATGAGAAACCTATTTTGGACCCTCACCAGTAGCTTTTCTTTTTCCCTTTCTAAACAATGCATTCTCTTCTGTTATTACATACTGTAAATCAAGCTATTTGATAGCTGACCTTGCAATAAGAGAGCAAAAAGGCAAAGGTGACACAAAAATGAGTATTTCTCCATAGATACGGAGAGAAAGGAGGAGATGCCAGAGAATCGTCATCAGTCGTCTGGATACAGCTCACTATTATCCACAGACCCATCTCCCAAAGCCATGGCCATTAATTCTTGTGGTCTGACAGATATTTCAAAGGTAAGTAAAACTGGCAAATGCTTAGTTGATTTCCTTTCTGAGGTCAAGAGAACAAGTAAGCATTAGTTTTAGTTGTATATACTACTAGTGAAAAACAAGGAAACTATGCAAAACTACATCTAGGTTTGTCTCATAAAAATCCTTTTGATATGTAAACAGTGCTTAAAGTCACATTTTTCTCTATGATTTTTTCAGGTTGAAAGTCCATCTGAAGATTGTTAGCTTTGAAGAGTTCACTAACTTTGTTGCTTTTAAATTGCAGGAGACAACAAGACAAAGAATGGAAAGGATAAGTAAAATGTAAGTAATAGGAAAGGGCAGCAGGAATTCATTTCCCAGGAGGGAGTTGTACTGGACTAAGGCATATAGAAAATGTACATATGTGTTCCAAACCTCAAAGGTCTCTACATCAGGTGTGGCATTTCCTTATGGCTCCACTGGATAATAAATCCACTTACAGTTCTGTATTTGTGGGATGAGTCACTGTTTTGGTTTCTAAAAAGCAATAGAAAGCACTCTTAATAGTATTAAAAAGTGTTTAGAATCTGGTTGACAAGGAATAGGAATATTATTTATCTCCTGAAAGGAATTCCCTGGTACTTGCAACTTTTCTTCCTGAAAAATAACTACACTATCTTATCTCTGCTTATTATTTAAGGAAAAGTAAAACCAATTTCAGGCTAAGCATTGTGAGAACTGTACTAAGGTGTGTTTGATACTAGCCCTGAGATCTGTAATGAAAATTTCTTTTGTAAGAAATATTTTTATTACACTTGAAGAGAAATGCATTGCAGTATAATGTTTTTTTAGCAAGAGATTTCTATTCTGTAAGTGCCTGGCCTGAAAAAAGTCGTAGCCTTTTTTGTGATTTAATTTTATTGTGTGGGTTACTTATTTCTTTATGTATACTTCAGGTTTATTGATATGTGGTAGGCATTTAAAATACAAACCAATTGCAGAGGAAAAGGGGGTGTGAGAGGAAACTTACGGTTTCATGCTGCTTGTTAGCATTTTGGATTCATTAGAAAGTTAAAGACAAGTCAGTTATTTCTTACTGTACTTTAGTAAGTGTGTGTGTGTGTAAACAAAATTTATTTTCAGAATTGAAGAAACCTCAGAATTGTTGAAAACTTCAAGCAACACCTCTGAGAAGACCTGAAAACACAGGTCTTCAGACCTGGTCTCTGTAGACTTATGGATATCGGAACTAATATGTATGTTTGTACAGCATTAAATTTTTAATATATCAAATTTGTAATGATCACCAGTGCTTTTATTCCTTTGAATAAATAATTTCTAATGCACCTGTGTACTGATTTCCCTCACCCCAGCCCCAATTTTTTGGTTTTAAAAACTGTTCAAATCGCTTCCCCCCGCTTTTGTAAAGTGAAGTCATTACAGCAGTGTATTTTTGTGTTGACATTTGTTAGCAGTGTGCTAAGTAATATGTTTTTTAAAGTGCAGACTTGAGGACCGTGGTTTACATCCTGCTGGAAACATTCCAGCTGGGACTTGCATATTGCACCCAAGAGGCTTTCTTACATACCATCTTACCATCTGTACTGTTGAATAAGTCTTAATGAAAACTTAAATACACGATTTTAAATATATACCTTTTTTGCTGTTTTTTTAAAATATAAATTTTCATGCTGAGCTGGAGAGCACGAACACATTATGGCTTCCATTAGCACTGACAAAGTGAGGGTCAGTTTGATCCCAAACACCAAAACGTGCAAGTAAGTCCACAGACTTTGACTGCAAGAGATGTGTTGAGTGTTTTAGTGCTCTCACCCAACACATTTTAAGACCAGCAGCACAGATGGAGACCATCCAGTATACAAAGATACACAACATTTTTATGATTTGAAGCCATATTAAAATTTCTCTTTAGAGACATAAGTAGATGTAAGACTTCCATAAATGTTATATAATCAAACCAAAGATGTGTGAGGTTTGATAAGATTTATTTATTTATTTATTTATTGCTCTTTGTAAATTTGTGGCCTATCGCATCAAGGTTTCTTTGTGCTATAATACTCACTTCACTTAAAGATTTTCGGAGTTTGATATCACAAAACCAGTGGATTTTTTTGGCAGCATTTGCAAATAAAGGTGAAACCAGCTGTTAGGCATTATGCTGTAAAAAGTGGTTTATATGTTTTAACAATAATTACGAATTTTTTCCGTAACCATATGGAATATAAATTGGCTTTATTTTACATACAAACAGAAGAACATACGGTGATCCATTATGTTATATAAACTTCAGCTGAGGGGTTTTGGACTTTTTGCAATAGAACTTACTTTTCCAGTTGTTTCAAAAAAAAAAAAAAGAAAAAAGTAAAAAAGATTGGAAAGTTAGATGATGTGAACATGTTTTGCACCTTAATTAAAAATAGACTTTGCAAATCACTGTTCATTATCCTAACAATGAAATGAAATGAGGTTTTCTTCTAAATGTGAGACAAATTCAACAGAAAATAGGTGATCTTTTCTAAAATAGGACTACAGCACCATCTTGTGGAAATCTTTATGCAAAGTAATTACCAAAGGAGGAAAAAAGTATATTCCTATACAGTTAGAGCTATTGCTTTAAACCAGTAATGATCAAATATTTTGAAATACTACCTCTCTTTAAATTTTCCTTTTTGCCTTGGAATTGAAGAGGCTTTTATATTAAGTAGATAATTATTCTGTATGATATTTGATAATGTTTGTGGCAGGAACCAGAACAATGAATCTGTTGTTTGTCAATGTTATGGCAAAGATGAGAAGTGTTAGTCAATATAAATGATTTAAGTTAAAAGGATTTATCACTGAATGCATGTGATTGATGCAGCAAGTGTTAGAAAAAGGTCTTTCTCTTAAGTGTACAATTTAATATCATCTCTATTTAGTACTGCAAAATCGAAAATCCAGTCGTTCAACTATTTCCTTCTTCCAGAAGCTGAAATGCAGTACTTTTCTCTGCGCGATGGGCTTCAGCCTTTGTAATTAAAGGCTTTGCTTCTCCTGTTTTCAGGACCAAGCAGGGGCTCACTTTGATCAAACTGAAGCCAAGGGTGTTTTACTGTTAGGGCAGTGGAGCTGGTTTTCTAAAGGTCTTCCTCTCACGCTTGCTTTCTTTTTTTAAATGAAATTTGGTTTTGAAAGATAGCACCATCTTCTGAAAAAGAAATATCCATAGGGCATTCAAACCCTCTTTACATGTTTGAGTTATAATTCTTTTTGATTCAGTTCTATGATTGGAAACAGTTAGTACTAGTAACACTATATGTCACAGTAAAACTTCACCAAAACAGTGCAATGCTGGGAAATACACGTCATGACTGAAAATAGCAACAGTTTTTGAATAATTACTGGTGCAACGCTACTTCGAGCATTGTCACAAGTCAAAGAGTTGACATTCTATGTGTGCAAACAGTTGCATGGGTGGATCTTGCTGAGTGACAGGAAATGTTAGATACCTTCCAAAACACAAATTAAATAAATCCAGAGAATATTCCTCACTATAGTTTCTATCATGCCTAGCTCTCCAATGACTTGGAAAAAATTCCTGTTGTTCATGTTCTATGATTATAAATCATTAATTGAACTACGTCTGTTTCTTAAAGTTACTGAATTTAATTATTAGTTTAAAAATATATATTATTAATTTTATAGTTAAGAATTGTTTTGACAACTCTATTTCCTTAAACATCAATAGAATAATTTCACCTGATGTAACTGAAAGTATTTATGCATTACATGGGATAATGATGCATAACTGCATTAAAGTAGAACGCTCAAACTGAAGCTTCTACAAAAATATACTTTTTAACTTTTTTTTGGCAAGATTCTAAATCTATTAAAACTTACAGGATTCCCATTAAGAATTTCTTTTTTACTCTGCCTTATCTAACATCAGTATGCACTATAATTCGTTTACTGAAATTAAAACATGCTATAGAAAACATAATAAGAATCCTCTCACCCCAAATCTGTAATATTGAAAAGCAGCCTGATAACCTCTTTTTAGTTATATTTTCAGTTTGTGTATATACTGCTACATGTTGTGGAATTCTAGTGCTCCGAGTCATAAATACGAAGAAAATTATTACAGTTACAACACTAGAATATATTCTTTATGATGTTACTTTTGATGTTTAAGATCTGCTACTTAAATTGTATTGCAGATAACTCAAGTTTGGTTGTACCTAAGTATGAGACAGGCCGAGTTCAGTTATACCCTGGTGTTTATGCCTAACGTGGAATTGTTTTTCATCCTCAGAAGTGTATTCAAAGCTCAAAGCCTTAATTACTAAGTGTGTCCTATTTCCTTATAGGAAGTATATCCAATTTTCTTATGCTTATTCTTAGAGTCCTTTTATGTCTTTCTGTCCTGGTTTAGTCTTGTATCCCATGTCAGGCTCAATTCAGTTTCTAGTCCAACAGCAAACATGGTGCAGAAGAAACCTGAACTGAAAATGTTTTTTGAAGTTTTGCTTTCTTTTAAATTTGCCTGATACAGAATACTTGTTGTCTTGAAAACAGTTCCATTAGGGAGAAAATCTCTTATGGAATTTGCAGAACTGAAATCTAGACTCTCTGGGGAGGGAGGTTACTTGTTTCGTGCTTCCCTGTCAGTGTAGCAGTGATTAGTAGAGCCACCTTGTTTGAATTTTAATATAAAAATAATCTTGTTGCTCTTTTTTTCTCCTAATGTGGTATATTTATTATAGAGTTTAGAAGAAATATTCCAGTGTGAAAAATACTGCACGCGTGTGTGTATATGTGTGTATATATATTTTTTTTTTTAATCTTAAGCTGCTGGTAGCATGTAGTGTTGTGACTTCAATATAGCTATATGGATGAGAGTGGCAGTTTTCTTCTCTCCCTGTGGAAGATCAAATAGGTGATAGTTCTTTCATATGAGCTATTCTTTTTAATTTCTTAAACAAGAGTATGTGTTGAGTTGTGGGGATAGCTGTCTGGTGCCCATATGGCTTCACAGCAAATTTTATGTGTTGCTAAAGTTGCTATTACAGCCTGCAATACAACCAGCCTATAAGCTCATACTAAACCCAGATTTTTTTCTAATGGCTATTTTGTTCCTCCCCCCACTTCCCTTGCTCATTGGCTTTTTTGTTTGATCTGTTGTATCTATTTTTATTTTATTATAGTAATGAAAAGCTAAAATCAAGGATATGGACACACTGAAGTTTGAGAAGTGCATTCTTGTCTTGTAAAGGTTAACTTTTCTGGAGAAAGAGAAGGAAAGATGATCAAAATGTATGAGAAGCTACTAATATTTGTGGAATTTACTTAGTTACTTTTTATTAGAGATGCTTAAAATTCTTTACTAATCATCAGTGAACAGGGGTTAAAACAGCTTTTTCTATCAGCTGCTTGTTTTGACGTTGGAAGTTAACCATCATTTCGAACAGTCACAGTTGTAATATATTCCACCTTAAAATTATTTATTTGGCATTACAGTTATCTTTTCAAACACTTTATGCCACCTGTAGTTCCTCTTCAGTTTCTTTCTAGGATTTTTTTTAATTCTATGTGGTGAAAATCTAAGAAGTTCATTTATAATCCTCAGACAGCAAAATACGCTTCTTCAGGAAAGGTATTAAATCTGCAAAAATTGTTTAATGAATAGTATGTTGCTTCTGTGGTATCTAGGCAGATTTCTGTGCGATAGAGGTCTATGTTGTGTTCTTTGTAGGATACTTAGGATGATGCAGTCAATACAAGGGTACTAGTTAAAACACTTGTGACTCGAGTGTTCCAAATACTGGAAAAGAAGTCATACTAAAACTGTGATATTCCTTCACTTGAGCATCCTACAGCTTATTTCATGAGGTGTAGTAAACTTAGTAGCTTTGTTTATGCAATGTGACCTTATCTAAGAGAGAAAGATGCTGTATCTGTGGTTACAGAACTCATCCTCTTTAGGCTCTATCCAGAGCAGATGCTTGATTTGAAGTAGTGAGGCTTTCTTACTATCTGGGAGAAGACTGCTCTAATTAATTATAGGTTAACAACAATAAGCAGTAGTGTGGGGCACTGATGTTCTAATACAGCAATGTGCGTTGGTTTTCCCCTCCCCTCCCCTTTACCTTTCCAGTTATCGTAAAGGAAGCTTCATATGCCATAAAGCAAAATAACTTTTGATGATAGGCTCCGGAATCAGCAGAAATATAATGTTGCCAATGTTAGATTTATAATGATTAATTTTTAGCATAAGCGATATCAAAGAATATTATGCCTCAGGGTATTTTAATCAAAGGCACAATTATATTTCTAAAACATACTGCA